CTTTTGAAGAATTTAAAAAATGATTCTAGACTAAAATTTCAAGCCAAATTTGAATTTCGTCTCAAAATTTGAAAATTTCAGCTCCAAATCCGTCCCGGCGAGTATTTCGAGGGCGACGAGCAAATGGACGGCGATACCGTAACCGCGTTCGACCTGATTGGCGATATTCAGCAAGTTCGTGATGCTGCGAGCGGAAATTTTACTTATAATTTATTGATTTATCGTTATCACTGCGGAAAAATCCCCGATTCACCGCCCGCGTGGTACATGAAGAAGCAGTGGCCGTATTGGACGCCCGTGGCCTAGTTTTTGCTGGCCTAGAAATTTTTTTCGCCCAATTTTGAGTTTTTATGTCGTTTTTTAGCTTTAAAACTCCTTAAAAACCCTTAAAGAACCTTAAAAAACCCCCCAGAAACCTATTCGTAACCCGTGGCCTAGTTTTTCTGGATTTTTTGGTTTTCTAGGCCACCAAATTTTGTTATTGATTTTTTTCAAAATTTTAATTTTTTCGGGTGCTTTCGGGTAAATTTCCTTTGCCTTTATTATTGTATTTTTTGTGATTTTTGTGATTTTTAAAATTTCAAATAAATCATTTTTGACCTAAATTTCAGCTAGCCACGTTTTCAGAATTTTCAGCAAATTCAAAATTTTTAAATTTGCCACCAAGCCTTCTTAATTTTCAAAATGAACCCACAAAAAAAGCGTTTAGAGCAGCTGAAGGCCCGACGGGAGGCCCAGGAAGCCGCCGAGAAACAGCAGCTACAGTGAGAGGCCACGCCCCCTTTTTAAAAAATTGCAGATTTAAAAAATCGATTTTCAGAATCCATAATAGTAAAAGTAAGAAGAAGATGACGTCAGGAGAAGCGGTGACACCGGAGGAAACGAATGTGAAAATGAGCGCGGAGAGTGTCGACTATGAGTGGGTTTAAATACGACAAGTGGGGGGAATGTTCTGGAGTGCGCCCGTGGTGTACGCGAGGAGAGCGCTGGCTGGCGGTCGGCTGGCTTTTAGGGGGTTGGGGGTTCGACTCCCATGGGGCATGATGTTTTTTTTTGTTTTTTTTTTCAATTTTTTACAGCTCTACGAGTATTCCGAAATTCCAGATACTCCGTGGAAGAGGACTACGAGGACGAAGAATACAAATCCGCAAAAAATGAAATCGTCAATAAGCTGCTAATCGAAGAAAAACGTCTTAAAAAGTCAGCTAGGCTCGCTGTGGAAAACGAAAAGAAATTAAACTCAGTTCTGGAAGAATTCAATAAACGATTCGATGATTTCGAATCGCTTTTAGATCAAATGTTGGAAGAAGTGGCAGGGTATAAGAAGAACTCCATGGTGACGTATACGACAATGTTGGAGAGTAATGTGGGTAGTTTTTTGAGGCTTGGAGAAGAGCTAGAAAAAAAGAAGAGCTTTTTGAGGCTTGGAGAAGAGCTAGCTGAAATTCGGTCCAAATATTGAAAATAATACGTTTTTTATTGTGCCAAAATTTCAAAAAAATCGGATTACTGGGAGCTGAGATAGAAGCACTTGAAGTTAGGTGCTGCTGCGCACCATGCGCGAGGCAAGGGGCGTCTAACTTTGAAAGCGTGTATCTTAGCTCAAAACTTAGCTAGCTGATCGAGATTTTCATGCAATATACAACATAATACTGGCAATAAACACTTCAAATTTCATATGGAAATATCGACAAGGAGCCGAGATACGAGCGTTTGAATTTACATCTAGCTCGTTGTCATTTTAGGCGCCTACTGCCGCCTCTCAAAGCTCGGCTCATATCTCAGTTCGAAAACAATCAATTTAATTTGAAACTTTGAAAGCATTTTAACGATAATATCAGCTACATTATCATCAACTTTTCTTCATTTTGGTCGATCATGTCCTGAGATACAGTAACTTGAAATTGGCGAGCCGTCTTTGACCGCCTGCGCGCGCCGACCACCTAGCGTTTAGCTCATATCTCTGCTCTCCCTCAAGCGATTTTCCTGAAATTTTCACAAATCATGTGATATAATGTAAACTACATATTAGCCAAATTTTATTGTTCTAGATCAGAAAAGTCCAGAGATACAGTAGATAGAACGTTTCTGACCCCCCGCGCTGCGACCACCTAAGTTTCCTGGCTCATATCTCAGCTGTTCCTGAACCAAATTTTATGAAAATTGCACATATTATGAAATATAATATAAACGATATATTTGCCTGATTTCATCATTCTAGATCTAACAAGTCTAGAGATACTTTAGCTTGATCTTGGCAAAGCTTTGACCCGCTTTGACCCCTAACGCGCGGCGACAACCCAACTTTCTTGGCTCATATCTCAGCTCCCCCTGAGCCGACTTTTTTGAAACTCCCGAAAATTAATAATAATAACTTGAACTATATATCTGGCAAATTTCATTACTGTAGATCTACCAGATCCTGAGACATGGCAGCTAGCACATTCCTTACCCCTTCGCGCCGACCACCTAAGTTTCCTGGCTAATATCTCAGCTCTCCGTAGACCAAATTTTACGAAAATCGCACATTTTATTTTTAATGACTTGACCTATATATCTGGCAACTTTCATTACTGTAGATCTACCGATTCCTGAGATACAGTAGCTTGACATTGACAAAGCTTTGACCCGTCGCGGCGCGGGGCCCGCGCCGACTACCCAATGTTCCTTTGCTCATATCTCAGCTCCCCCTAAACCAATTTTTTTTGGAATTTTCCCTCTAAAACCTTTAAAAATTATACTTTTCAACCATATTCTAATTTTCAGATTCTTCCACTCCTGGCCCGCTGGCAAGCCGTTCAAAAAGCGATGAAAGCGTGCAGTATCCGAACGGGTGCTGTTGGAACATCGGGAGGTGTTTTCGGGAACTTGGCACATTACGGAATATTCATTTTGAGAAAAGTGCTATTTTATATGGCATACTGTAGAGATATGATACCGAGACGAGTGGCTGAGCAACGACTTCAGATACACGTTCCTATGGATCAGACACCGCCAGCGGCGTCGCCAAAAACTCAGAATTCCTCTAGAAATGTTTCCATTGAGAGAGAATGAAATGATTTTTTGATGGATTACTGTATTTTTGAATTCCAGAAAATAACATTACTCACCTTTAATTTGTGGCACATTTCCTCTTCCAAAAAATATTGCGAAGGAGATTGCTGCGAACAATTTTTGGGTCTTTCGAAACAAAGGCCTACGCAATATTCTTTTTTTGGCTTAGAAGAATTGCCAGACGTCATCAGAATATTCAGAATAAGAGCAACATTTTCCAATTTGGAAAATTCGTCTAGCTCGATTTTCAGCAAAGTTATGAGAATTTGAAATTTTGAAAAATTAGGTCAATTTTCAAATAGCTGTAACTTAGCTCAAAATTGAGCTAGACTAATTGTAAAAACTGTAAAATATAAAAAATTTTATGCTGAGCTATTTTGCAGTTTAAAATGTTTCGGTAACTTACATGCTTCTTGAGATAGAGACGCAGACAGTTAGGGTGTCTGGCTTCTCTGCTCCACCCACCCTTTTGGTGGCGTATGTTTAAAGGCGCGTAGCTCAAAAACTAGCATAGCTAGCCAACAGTGATAAATTGCAAAATTGCTCAGCATAAAATTCCCTACATTTTCCAATTTTGGAAATTATAACTAGCTTAATTTAAAGCCAAGTTATGCGCCTATAAACTTCAAGAAACCAGAAATAATAGGAAGGCAAACTTTAAAGGCGCATAGCTCAAAAAATACGGTAGCTAGAAAAATATTGTCAACTATTAAATCACTCAGCATAAAATTTCCTACATTTTCCAGTTTTCAAATACTGTCTAGCACAGTTTTAAAGAAACTCACATTAGATTAATGGTCAGGAATGGTCTGTACACTCAAAACCCATTAATGGGGCCAAAAAAGGGGGCGGTGCCTCCCTAAAGCCAATAGATTTGAGAACTTATTTGCGAAAGCTATGTATTACACAAAAGGAAATATAGGCATATAAGGAGAATTCACACCTAAAATGGTTTTAGGAAAAGATAGAGAGAAAGAGACGCAGAGAAAAAACAAATATGGTTATTTGTACACTTTCTTCTTCATCTTTTCATGAAAACCACCACCAACCCTTTTAAGACCCCTTTTTATTTGTTAGGAACACCTTTTTTCCGTCTGTCTGGGTGTCTGTCTTACGCAGACAGCTAGAGTGTCTCGCTTCTCTGCGTCTCCGTTTTCTCCTCCCCAAGAAGGCGCGGCACTTCAACTTTAAAGGCGCATATCTCTGAAACTAAATTAGCTAGATTAATTTTCAAAATTGGAAAATGTAGATAATTTTGTGCTCTTCAATTTTGTATTTGACAAAATTTAGATAGCTTTCTTGGTTCTTGAGATAGAGACGCAGACAGCTAGAGTGTCTCGCTTCTCTGCACCGTCCCCTTTTGGTGGCGTATGTTTAAAGGCGCATATCTCTGAAACTAAATAAGCTAGGAAGAAGTTGTCAACTGCAAAATTGCTCAGCATAACATTTTCTACATTTTTCAATTTTTTAAATTTGCCTGGCTTAATTTTGAATCAAGTTATGAGCCTTTAAAATTCAAGAACCAGAAATAAAAAACATCTAGTTCAAAGGCGCATAACTCGATTCAAAATCAAGCCATAACACTTTCGAAACTTGAAAATTATTAGAAATTCGAAGTTGTTGATTTTTAATTACTTAATTGACCAATTAGCCTTCAGAAAACGCTGAAATTTCAGTCCGAAGTGATGGAACTCGTCAACAGTCTGTCCATCATGTCGGTCTTCGAGATTATGGCTTGTGATCCGTTGATTAATTCGTTGACCTCTTGATTTTTATCAATTTATCGATTTTTATAAACTGTGATCTCCATCAAAACAATGAAAAACTATGTATTGCTCATGCTCAAAGCAGGGAACATGAAAAACAAAAACTCTAGACAGGAAATTAAAGAAATCGTCATCTACAGTACCTTAGAAATAATGGTTTCCTGGGTACGATGTCTCTAAGTTGTATAAGAAAATACGAAAACATAAAAAAATTTGTTGAGATTTTTAAAAACTAAAAAAAAATGTTTCATAATTTTTTATCATTCACTTATCTTTTTTCTTTTTTTTTCTCTTCAAAACTAGCTCAAAATCACTCGAATCCGTTTATTCTAACCCAAGATACACCCTTTTGTTTAGCTAGCGCGCCAGACGACGAGACACCTCTCGCTTCTCTGCGCCCTCTTCGCTCTCTACACTCTCTAGTAGTACTAACTTTAAAGGCGCGTAACTCGCATTACATTGAAGCTAGAAAAGTGCAAATTAAATAGTTTTGTAGGAAATTTTAAGGGTTTTAAGATGATGTACAATTTATACTAAAATTGAAAATTGGATTTTAAAGCATTTTCGGAGTTTTTGGAATTTTTTATTTCAAAAACCTGAATTCCCCCAATTTTTTTTTGAAAACTAGCTTAAAACGACCTTAATCTGCCTACTATTTATGCAAGATACACACTTTTGTTTAGCTAGCGCGCCAGACGACGAGACACCTCTCGCTTCTCTGCGCCCTCTTCGCTCTCTACACTCTCTATGTAGTAGTACTAACTTTAAAGGCGCGCAACTCGCTTTACATTAAAGCTAGAAAAGTGAAAATTAGATAGTTTTATAGGAAATTTTAAGGGCTTTCTGGTGATATATAATTCATAAAAAAGTAGAAAGTTGAGTTTTTCGAAAATTTTCGAAAATTTTCTCGAACTTTTGACAAAAAACCCTGATTCCCACATTTCCTTTTTCATAATTACCCCAGAATCACTCTAATCCGTTCGTTCTAACCTAAAATACACAATTCTGTTTAGCTAGCGCGCCAGACGACGAGAAACCTCTCGCTTCTCTGTACCCTCCTCGCTTTTCTCACTCTCTAGTAGTACTAAGTTAAAAAGCGCATAACTCGCTTCAAATTGAAGTTAGAAAAGTGAAAATTAGACAGTTTGTAGGAAATTTTTAGGGCTTTTTGGTGATATATAATATATATGGAATTCAAAGTTGGAGTTTTGAAAAATCCGTTTGAAAACATAACTTCCTTTAAACTTGATCATTTTCAATCATTTTTTTCCAGATGAAATCCTTCTTCCACTTGTCCTCAATTTTCACAAAATTCGGCTTCTCAGCTGGCCTCCTATCCAATATTATTCTCATTTATTTAACCCTATTTCACATTCGAAAAATTCAAGTGACCTACAAATCAATGGTCATCTTTTTCGCGATCCTTGGAATCGTTTTTTCAGGATGGGAACTGTTTTCCAAGCCTTTTATGCATAATTTCAACAAATCAATGGTTTATTTTAGTTTGGCCTCGAAATTCGGGGTCCCCGAAGAGTTTTTCCAGTTCGGCATCGCGTTTTATGCGGGGCTATATATGGCAATTGTGGCTTTTATCTCTTTGCAGTTCGTTTTTCGGTATTTGGCACTTTTTAAACCGAAATTCGCGAAAAAATTTGATGGAATTGGTTTTATTGGGTGGATGGGGTATTCTATGGTACCTGGGATCATTTATGGCTCCTCATTTTATTTCTACTGTCTTCCTGATCAATTTTCCGATGATTATGTCAGGTAGGAACCTCTTCCTACTAAGAGCGTGGCCTAGAACTTCAAAAATAGGAAAACTAGGCCAGCAAGGTCTTCTCAAGAGATCCGAGATGGCCTAGTCTTTACTGGCCTAGAATTTCAAAAGTTGAATTTTTGAATTTCTGAATTTCTGAATTTCTGAATTTCTGAATTTCTGAATTTCTGAATTTCTGAATTTCTGAATTTCTGAATTTCTGAATTTCTGAATTTCTGAATTTCTGAATTTCTGAATTTCTGAATTTCTGAATTTCTGAATTTCTGAATTTCTGAATTTCTGAATTTCTGAATTTCTGAATTTCTGAATTTCTGAATTTCTGAATTTCTGAATTTCTGAATGCCTGAATTTCCGAATTTCTGAATTTCTGAATTTCTGAATTTCTGAATTTCTGAATTTCTGAATTTCTGAATTTCTGAATTTCTGAATTTCTGAATTTCTGAATTTCTGAATTTCTTTGGACTTTCGGACTTTTCGGGTTTTTCGAATTTTTGAATTTCGCCAAAACTTATATGGCCTAGAGCTTGGTGGCCTAGCATCCCAATTTCAGAGACGAGATGCTGATGAATTACGAATTGGCAATTGGAGAAATCCCGAGATTTGTCATTGTGTCTTATGTGAGTTTTTCCCTTTATTTTTTGGAAAATTCAATATCAAATATGCTAAGTTCTGTATATCACCAAAAAGCCCTTAAAATTTCCTACAATATTATGTAATTCTGATTTTTCTAGCTTTACTGTAAAGCAAGTTATGCGCCCTTAAAGTTTGTGCAGCTAGAGAGTGGGGGAGGCGGAGAGGGCGCAGAGAAGCGAGAGGTGTCTCGTCGTCTGGCGCGCTAGTCAAGCAAAGGGGCGTATCTTGAGTTAGAATAGACGGATTTGAGTGATTTTAGGCTTGTTTCGTAGGGGAAAAAGTAGGAAACCGGATAGATTTGATTTTTTTGGAAATTAGAGAAATTTCAAAAAACCAAAACTTTCACTTTCTTAAAGTATTGTACATCATCTGAAAACAATTTAAAATTCCTACAAGACGGTGTAATTTTCACTTTTCTAGCTTCAATGTAAAGCGAGTTACGCGCCTTTGAAGTTAGTACTACTACATAGAGAGTGTGTGGAGCGGAGAGGGCGCAGAGAAGCGAGAGGTGTCTCGTCGTCTGGCGCGCTAGCCAAACAAGATGGTGTATCTTGAGTTAGAATAGGAGAATTTGGATGATATTAAACTCGTTTTAAAATTGGAAATGTGAGAAATCAGGTTTTGAAAAAAATAATCTGAAATTCAAAAAAATGTTTCATTGATTTTTCAAAAATTTCAAAAATGAAGTTTCCAGGACGGCAACAACAGTCTGCGATGGAAAAATATGGCATTTCTGGTCCAAGGAGTCTCCGTTATAGGCTTGCACTACCTTGTCATACTGTACTTCGGACTGAAAATACATTTCAATATGAAGAAAAAGCTGCAAGAGTACAGTACTACCTATAGACGAATTCAGAATCAATTATTCCGAGCGTTGGTGGTCCAAACGATGGCTCCAACGTTTTTATTCGTTCTTCCCGCTGGTCCGATTCTTTTGGGTCCATTGGCTAGCCCGATTTTTGGGTTTCCAATCAGTTTACAGACTGGATGGTTGTGCTCCGTGTTTAGTTTCTATCCCCCGATTGATAGTATCGCTTTTATGGTGATTGTGACGGAATATAAGAAGGTTATTAAAGGTACAGTAATCCTTTCGTTTTAAAATTTTAGAATTTTCAAATATTTTTTCCAGAACAACTCCACTACATGTTCTTCCCGCCAGAGTCCCAATCAGCCGCCTGTACCTCAACGGACCAGAATGCGAAACCCATTCAAATGAGCTAATTTTGAAATATTTTATATACTGTACTAAAAATTTTTTAAAAGCCCATAAAATTTACATTAAAACTAAATATTGTTCATTTCTCTAGCTCAAAGTTGAAAAAATGTTATGCGCGTTTAAAGTTTAGACCGACGACTCTTTTCTCTGCGTCTCTATTAAGGCGCATATCTCACAAACTACGGTAGCTATCAAAAAGTTGAAGACTACAAAATTGCTCAGCATAAAATTTTACACATTCTTGTTGTTCGCAGCATTTTGATAGGTACTGTAGTTTTTGAGATGTGCGCCTTCAAACAGACGCAGAGAAATGAGGTTGGCTAGGTGTCGCCCGAACTTTAAAAGCGCATAGCTCGTTTTAAATCTGAACTAGAAGGAATTCAAAAACAGGAAAATGTAGTAAATTTTATGCTGAGTAATTTTGTAGTTAAAAACTTTTTGCTAGCTACTGTAGTTTTTGAGATATGAGCCTTTGAAGAGACGCAGAGAAGCGGCTAGCCGTCTGCGCTTCCTAGTCTATGTAGGTGTCCTAGACTTTAAAGGCGCATAACTCGCTTGAAAATTGAGCTAGACAAATTTCAAAAATTCCATGTTAAAGGAAATTTCATGGAAATTGAATTAGCAGTTGACACAATTTTTCTAGCTACTGTAGTTTTCGGGATATGCGCCTTTAAAGTTACCCTACCAGCTATTTCTCGTTTTCTGGACTTTAAAGGCGCATAACTATTTTCAAAAGTGAGTTCGAAAAGTTTTGAAAAATGCATTGTATGGGAAATTTTATGGAGTGTAATTTTATAGTTGACACATTCTTTCTAGCTACTGTAGTTTTTGGGATATGCGCCTTTAAAGAGACGCAGAGAAGCGTCAGCGGCTAGCTGTCTGCGCTTCCTAGTCTAGGTGCCCTAGACTTTAAAGACGCATAACTCGCTTGAAAATTGAGTTAGAAAACTTTTGAAATCTGGAAAATGTAGGAAATGTTATGGAAATTAAATTAGCAGTTGACAAAATTTATTTAGCTACAATAGTTTTTGAGATATGCGCCTTCAAAGTTAGCCTACCAGCCTTTTTTTGTTTTCTGGTTTTCAAAAGCGCATAACTCTTTTCAAAATTGAGCTAGACAAGTTTTGAAAAATGCATAATATTGGAAATTTTATAAGAATCATTTTCATAATTGACTCTTTTTTTTAGCTACTGTAGTTTTTGAGATATGACGTGTTTTGTCGGGGACCATCTGCTCCTCTTTTTTATTGCACCGCATAACAGGTGTGCGGTGGCAATTTTATTACCCCTAATTAGTCTGACGTGAAAGAGTTTTCCCTTCATTCTGGTCCCTCTCAAAACTTACAATCCACCAAACCATTGCTCAGCCTTAATTAAAAAGTTTTTCGCTTCATTTAAAATTTCAAAATGTTTGAAGAATTACTCATTTACCCCTCTTTTTTGCCAGTTTATTTGATTTCTTTGGTCATCCAACCTGAAAACTTTAAGGGTACAAAAAGCCATCAACAACAAACATTTTTGATGTTGATCACTTTTTTTTTCTTTTGGACCGGAAAATATTGAAAAACCCCGTGGGAAAACAACAACTTTTTTCCCGGAAATTGAAAAATGGGAGTTTTTGACACTTCAATCATATTTTTGCAGGTTTTAAACTAGAAAATTCGAATTCTTCATCAAAATCTACCCTAGAAACCAAGAAAAAACGAAAATTTTCTTGCTGGCCGAGTTTTTGGATTTTCTAGGCCACCAAGAAAAAGTTCGGCCATATGCGTATTTCTGCTTGGGAAAACAGTTTCTAGAGTGATTTTTGATGAGAAATCCAAATTAGATGTTTATTTCAATCGAAAGTAATTTAGCACTCCAGAAAATCCGTTTTTCCAGAACTTTGATGGTGGCCTAGAAAACCAAATGTGTTCTTTTCGGCTCTAATTTTGCAATTTCACGTTCTGAAACGTTCAAATTTTAATTCCCCATCAAAATCTACCCTAGAAACCAAGAAAAAACGAAAATTTTCTTGCTGGCCGAGTTTTTGGATTTTCTAGGCCACCAAGAAAAAGTTCGGCCATATGCGTATTTCTGCTTGGGAAAACAGTTTCTAGAGTGATTTTTGATGAGAAATCCAAATTAGATGTTTATTTCAATCGAAAGTAATTTAGCACTCCAGAAAATCCGTTTTTCCAGAACTTTGATGGTGGCCTAGAAAACCAAACGTGTTCTTTTCGGCTCTAATTTTGCAATTTTACGTTCTGAAACGTTCAAATTTTAATTCCCCATCAAAATCTACCCCAGAAATCAAACAAAAACGAAAATTTTCTTGGTGGCCGAGTTTTTGGATTTTCTAGGCCATCATGGGAAAAGTTAGGCCATATGCGTATTTTGGATTGGGAATACAGTTTCTAGAGTGATTTTTGATGAGAAATCCAAATTAGATGTTTATTTCAATCGAAAGTAATTTAGCACTCCAGAAAATCCGTTTTTCCAGAACTTTGATGGTGGCCTAGAAAACCAAATGTGTTCTTTTCGGCTCTAATTTTGCAATTTCACGTTCTGAAACGTTCAAATTTTAATTCCCCATCAAAATCTACCCTAGAAACCAAGAAAAAACGAAAATTTTCTTGCTGGCCGAGTTTTTGGATTTTCTAGGCCATCATGGGAAAAGTTAGGCCATATGCGTATTTTGGATTGGGAATACAGTTTCTAGAGTGATTTTTGATGAGAAATCCGATTTTAATGTTCATTTAATACAAAAAACAGTCTACTTTTGTTTTATAGTTGAAAATTCAATTATCGAAAACATTTGATGGTGGCCTAGAAAGCCAAATTTGCATTTTGCGGCTCTAATTTTGCAATTTCACGTTTTGAAACGTTCAAATTTGAATTCCCCATCAAAATCTACACCAGAAACCAAGAAAAAACACACATTTTCTTAGTGGCCGAGTTTTTGGATTTTCTAGGCCACCAGTGGAAAAGTTAGGCAATATGAATATATTGGCTTGGGTATAAGGTTTTTAGAGTGATTTTTGATGAAGAATCCGAATTTGATGTTAATTTTTAGTGCAAACCCACGAGAATCTCATAAATATGAATTTTTTTGATTTTTAGAAAAATGGATTCTAAAAAACTATGATTTCAGAGCATTTCTCGGGGAAATTGCAGACTACAAACTACAAAAAAAGTTTTACTAGAGCTAAAAAAACGGTCGGAACAAAAATGGACAGGAAAAAGTAGTGACAAAAGAGGTACAGTGATTTTTGAAAACCTGCACATCAAACTTTAATTCAAAATTCCAAAAATCCTAGACAAAGCCGAAACGGAAGCTTTTTTAATTTCCGTTGAAAAAATCGTTTTTTTTCGAACTTTTGGTAATTTAATACTTTCTTTTCCGGATTTCCCTTTTTGGGAGAAAAAAGGACGACTACGTCAGAATCTCAGAGTTTGGACCTTAAAAATTTGAATTTTGGAACTTTTTCGATTTTCGAATTTTAGATCATAAATTACACTTTTTACTATAGTTGTTATATATCACCAGAAACCCCTTAAAATTTATCACAAAACTATGTAATTTTTATTTTTCTAAGTTGAGTGTGAAGCGAGTTATGCGCCTTTAAAGTTAGCCACCCGAGAGAGGAGGGAAGCGGAGAGGACGCAGAGAAGCGAGAGGTGTCTCGTCGTCTGGCGCGCTAGCTAAACAAGAGGGTGTATCTCGGGCTAGAATGAACGGATTTTGTGATTCTGGGCTCATTTTGAACAGGAGAAGATGGAAAATCGTATTATATAAAATTCCGAAAATTTTGAAAAGTTCTCAAAATAAAAAATGTTCCTGGAACTGCAAAAAGTAAAAAGTGCAAACAGAATTTCCATGTAGTGTTGTATATCACCTGAAAGCCCGTAAAATTTCCCACAAGACAATGTAATTTTTATTTTTCTAAGTTGAGTGTGAAGCGAGTTATGCGCCTTTAAAGTTGGCCACCCGAGAGAGGAGGGAAGCGGAGAGGACGCAGCGCGCTAGCTTAACAAGAGGGTGTATCTTGGGCTAGAATAAACGGATTTAAATGATTTTCAGCTAGTTTTATTAGAGAGAACTTGAAAAATCAGATGAAATAGGTTTTTGGGCAAAAAAAGGCAATTAAAAATTTGTTAAACCCTAAATGTAGATTTATGAGATTCTCATTGGTTTTTATTGAAAATCAACGTCAAATTTGGATTTTTCATCAGAAATCACTATAGGAATATTATTCCAAAGCCGAAATACGAATGTGGCCTAACTTTTCCCCCTGGTGGCCTAGAAAATCCAAAAACTCGGCCACCAAAAAAATTAGGTTTTTTCTTCGTTTCCAGTGTAGATTTTGATAGGTATTTTGAATTTTTTAGTATAAAAACGTAGAATTGCAAAATTAGAGCCGAAAAGAACACATTTGTTTTTCTAGGCCACCATTAAAAGTTTTAAGGGCGCATAACTCGCTTCACACTCAACTTAGAAAAATAAAAATTACATAGTTTTGTGATAAATTTTAAGGGGTTTCTGGTGATATATAACAACTATAGTAAAAAGTGTAATTTATGATCTAAAATTCGAAAATCGAAAAAGTTCCAAAATTCAAATTTTTAAGGTCCAAACTCTGAGATTCTGACGTAGTCGTCCTTTTTTCTCCCAAAAAGGGAAATCCGGAAAAGAAAGTATTAAATTACCAAAAGTTCGAAAAAAAACGATTTTTTCAACGGAAATTAAAAAAGCTTCCGTTTCGGCTTTGTCTAGGATTTTTGGAATTTTGAATTAAAGTTTGATGTGCAGGTTTTCAAAAATCACTGTACCTCTTTTGTCACTACTTTTTCCTGTCCATTTTTGTTCCGACCGTTTTTTTAGCTCTAGTAAAACTTTTTTTGTAGTTTGTAGTCTGCAATTTCCCCGAGAAATGCTCTGAAATCATAGTTTTTTAGAATCCATTTTTCTAAAAATCAAAAAAATTCATATTTATGAGATTCTCGTGGGTTTGCACTAAAAATT